AGGTCAAAACGACAATATAAAGCTAAAGGAGACTGTGGCCAAACCAAAAGCCACACCATCTTGGTCTTCATATCAAGAAGAATGTATGTTTACCGGACTGACTTTGTGCGACTCACATGACCCAGTTGATGCACACATCTTGAGAGCATAAATCAAACGATGACATTTTTAACCGTAAAATTGGACTAACGAACAAGCAAAAGCGTGATATCTCGAAAATATTTTCCCTAAACATGGCCTTCTTGAAGGAATTGAAGATGTTCCATGCGCTGTAGTCACGAGATCGTCAGCTGTTCGAAGAAAATCAAAATGGTCTTAGTGAGGAAGATGTCAACATTTCAGGCAGCCCTTCCAAATGAGTTGAGGCGGTGGTGACAAGAGGCAACGTTGTGGATAAAAACGGTAACCTTTAACGTCTACAGCAGCACAATTTGGCCGGCTGGTGCTCGGTCGGCTGTGGCAAGTAAAAGGATATGCATAGTTGATGTCTGTGAAAGCTGAAGCCAATCATACGGCCATTAATCTCTATATTTCCCTCAGTGCTAATGGAGAAGATGTTAGGCTAGTATCCAGCACGATTAGAGCCAAACCATTGGGATAATGGAGGGGTGAAAACTATGTCGAAATTCCTTTATGATAATAGAATTAGAGAAGTCTGAATGAGGGAATCTGCAGGCAGAAATATCCGTAAAAATGACCTCGATAGACAAACGCATTCATTGTGATATGAATGCACACTTATCCATCCATAACTGCCCCCTCATTAGGATTGGGGAAGACTAGCAAAGAAAAAAAATATCGAAATATTTTGTCGTTATGAGATGCCCTGGCATCGGATCAAGAGTAAAAGTTTGAAATTTCAAAAATATGTAAGAATAAAAAATGGATATAAAAGTGGTCAAGAATGACGAACTGACTAGAAAGCTGATGATAACACCATACTCTACTTTACTATCAAATAAAATTAATGTTTCAGATTAATCTGATCGTCTACAGTCGGCAGAAAAAATATTCGCAAAATTTCGGCTACCTCAGTTTAACTTTGATTTAGAAAACAACAACCATCAATCTGGCAAGGCAAATTGTGCAGACTATGTTACTTATATTCGATGTAAGTAGGCTACGCGATCATCAATAGAACTTGACTAAGATGTCTAGTCTCAGCACCAAGTCATCGCCAGAATACTCTGCATATCAAGCACATGCACACACATACACTGGTATGGAAAGGTTGGTCTGAGAAGTTGTGAACACACGACGGCTTAATCTGAAATAAATCAAAGCCATAATCGAGTCCAACCTGGAACTTCGAAGACATTTTTCATAGTCGACTTAGAAAGGCGCGAAGCCTTTTTTCGCATTCATACTGTTGACCAAAGGTAGCTGTTTAAGTGGCAAAAAAAGTGAAGACTCGGCTTGCCAATCCGCTTAGCTTTAGTCTTCTGGTCGCCGTCGGGACATCAGAGGCCAGTTTCCGTCGACCACAAATCCCTATCATGACCGCTCGAGTCAGCTTCACATCTGTACCAACTTTTTTAAAGTTTTTTGATCCACCTTCCCTAAAATCACGTAGCCAATCAAATAATGCAATGGGACACCACACTTTTCGTCAACTTATCGAATATCTCCTCTTTTAAATAACCTCTTGAAAATGAGTCGTAACAACATTTTGCCAATTTCTTTACTTCTATATAATTCCTAGGTTCAGGCTGACTGACCTTCGAGTAATCGACGAAAAGAATGTCTTGATTGGATCCCTTCTATTTAGAGCCAAGATGTGTATGCTACGAAGGGACCCGGAGTTCTATCCCACCAGAAGACAACAGCAGATTTCTCTTGGTAAACGGTAGTTTGGCTTTTCCTCACCCTTCAAGTCGATCAAGCTATTTGGCAGGCATAATGAGAGCTGGAAGGCATTTCCAGCAAAAATTTGATCTGGCCAGTCAAGAAAGTGTATCCATAAATGCTGCATGATTATTTCCACCCCACACCTATTCTCAGACAAAAAGCACTTGGTCAGAATATGAACCCAGCCATCCTCAGTCGCATACGGTAATTTAAGGACTGAAATTAGAGATTCCCCACAAAGCTAGACTGCAGTTTCCACATAGCCCCACCGGCATTCATCACTATCCTCAACGGGACTCGATAATGGGTTGTAAGTATCGTGAAGATGTTACCAGTCCATTGTGCAGACGCTGGCGCCACTGGGCTACAGGGCAGATGTGACATTCAAGGCAAACAAAAATTCACAAAAATCAAATCTATGACGAAAATGTAGATTAAACAATCGATGACATTACTTATTTACTCTATAAGAAGTTCTCGAGACCATGAGGAAATCTAGAATAAAAAACTTAATATATGCTAACAAAAGTTGTGCTTCGACGAATCTCCAAATTTATAATTGTTGAGCTCACTTGCTTTTTGAGTGAAAGAGATGCGAAGGTCGATCTCACCAAAAGACGACGACGGACACCTCTTGACCAGCTGTTGAATGGCTTCAGTAGAACATTCTTGTTGACGCCGTTTCTTAGGCAATCTCTTTCGATTCCGTTGAATACGTGCTGAGCATTCGTCCTTCGTATGACGGACAAAATCAGAGCAGGGTATCATTCTTGCAACCATATCCGGGCTTATAAGCCAATGAAGCTTAACTTTAATATGGTTGTAAAGATGACTCTTGCCTCTGACGAAAGCTTAGCACGTCTTCGCCGGAATCGAAGGAGATTGCCTCGGAAAGCGTCAGCGAGAATGTTCCTGTAAAGACAATCGACGGCTGGTCAGAAGTAAGCTGTCTTCGTATTCTGGTGGGATCTAACTTCGAATACCTTCAGCAAGCATTCTCATCCGAAATGGAAGTGAGCTCAGCATTTAAGGACTGATTATTGAGGATGCCACTTTAAGTGAGCTGGGACGAGACTAAGCTAGTATTGAAGAATTCCTAATGAATACCAAGACTAACTGCATTTCGATGGATCTCCTGCGATAATATTGTTGGAGAGGCTTTGGCTTCGTATAAAACTGCATGAAGAAGAGGTTCGAAGGTCGATCTCACTTGAAGAGGACGGCTTATTCCCGTTGTATTGCAGCCGTTTGGCTTTAATACGACCTTCAGGTTGGCACAGTTCGAGAGATATACTCCTTCGCTTCGTGGACGCCATGCGGCGGCAGTACAACGGGATTCAACCGTCCTCTTCTGGTGAGATCGACACTCGAATGTCTTCTTCATGCAATTTCATACAAAGTAAAAATCTCTCCATCAAATTTTTAATAAGCCCGAAGTTATTTATAACGGATAATAGTAGCGAAGTTGATTTCAACGGCGAGCATATTTGCTTTATCGAGAATCCCGCCAGCTTCGCCTTAAATGTCGCATGTACCCTGTGAAAAACTGGCAATTGTGACTGCGTGTTGGCAATGACAACATTGCTATACTACTCACGACTGGGCCTTGAATCCCGCTGAGCATGACGCTGGAGGACGAGGGCCAGGCGAGGTCGAACCTCACTTC